CAACTGTCAGAAATGTAATCTACAACTGTCAGAAATTCAAACTACAACTGTTAAAATATCCTACAGTAAAAAATCTTAACTCCAAATATCAAAAAATTTAACTACTGCTGTTAAAAATTCAACCTCCAATTGTCAAAAATTCAACTGTCAAAAAAACAAACTACAACTGTAAAAAAAAATCAAACTCCAACTGTCAAAACGTCCCACAGTAAAAAGTTCAACTCTAACTGTCAAAAATTGTATGCCAAGCAATCAAAATTTAAATTATAACCAACAACATGTCAAATGCCTACAGTAAAAATTTCAGACCCAGCTGTTGAAATATTAAACTCCAAATGTCAAAAATTATAACTCCAACTGTCAAACATTCAAACTACAACTGTTAGAAATTCAAACTACAACTCTCAAAAGTTTAAATACAACTGTTAAAAATGTAAACTACATCTGTGAAAAGTTCAAACTACAACTATCAAAATGTCCTACAGTCAGAAATCCAATTACAACTGTCAAAAATTATAAGCCAAACAATCAAACACTCAAATTATAACCATCAACATGTCAAACTCCAAGGCTACAGTAAACAAAAATGCAGACTCCAGCTGTTGAAATATCAAACCCCAACTGTCAAAATTTCAAACTATAACTGTCAAAATGTCAAAGTACAACTGTCAAAAATGTCCTACAGTCAACATTTCAATTTCAACTGTCAAAAATTCAAAGTTTAACTGTCAAACTCTTTCGCTAAAAATGCTGACTTCAGCTGTTAAAATATCAAATTCTAAAACCGTCAAAAATTGTCAAAAACTGTCAAAATGTCCTACAGTCAAAATTTTAACTTTATCTGTCAAAATTTCAAAGTAACCATCAACTCCTACGGTACACATGTCAGACTCCGGCTGTAAAAATATTAAACTTCAACTGTCAAAAAAAATCTAACTTCAGCTGTCAAAAATTCAAACTCTAACTGTCAAAATGTCCTACAGTCAATATTTAAACTCCAACTGTAAAAAATTCAAAGTGCAACTATTAACATATTAAACTCCTACGGAATAAATGCTGACTTCAACTGTTAAAATATCAAACTTCAACTGTTACAACATCAAAATCCAAAACTGTCAAAAATTCTAACTATAACTGTCAAAATGTCCTACATTTAAACTTTAAACTCCAACTGTCAAAAATTCAAAGTACAACTGCTAACATTTCAAACTCCTACAGTGAAAAATGCTAAATATGTTAAAATATCAAACTTCAACTGTTACAACTCCAAAACTTCAAAACTTATCAAACTCCAAAAATGTCTCCAACTGTCAAAAATTTAGACTCCAACTGTCAAAATGTAAAATTAAAAACCCACACACATCAAAATCCCTATGTATTATTCTACTGTCTGGCATCTGTTTATCTCTGACAAAAAAGTAAAGCTTTTACTGTTAAAAATTCCAGCTTTGGCTGTCAAACATCAAATTTCAATAAGATAACCCCAACTGTCAATAAGATAAATTGTCAAGAAAACTGTATTACTTAAAAATATTTCAAACTTGTATAACTACTAGAAACTTTCAGGCAAAGTTTTCTTAAGCTAATATCAAAGTTTGTTTACAAGTACAGTAAAAATGATGGCTAAACAGACAAACAAATGAGAAGTAAAAAAATAATCTGAATAAAGTGAGAAATTGGCCAATTAACAGAATTTGCAGAGTCATGAAAAGTCTTGGAGGTTGTGCGAATATGCAGAGATTCCCTATGTAAGATACTACAGCATAAATATTGCTACTCACAGCTTTCTGTGCGACATTTCTTTATGTTTAATTATTGATTGATCTTTTTCCCATTCATATCTGCCACAAGAAAGCACGTTATAACATGCGCTACAAAAGAGATATAGTAACCTCTAAAAAGTCTTGCCATAAAGTAAGCACAGATAACCTCCTGCCAAACAGAGAAGCACAGTCGTTATGCCAACAAACTGGCCAACATCTTCGTAGAAAGCTTAAGCATGTCTTTCACTAATGCACTCAGGGCACTTTAACCTCAAAATCATGTTAAGTTTAATATAATTACATGACACACTTAGCCAAAACATCATTGGGTGCTTAATCTCCTCTCCCTGTCCCAAAGTCAACAAGAACTGGCATTTGCAATCCAATTTACTTCCGTCATGGAAGTTTTTGCAGTATTAAATGTGATACTGAAATAAATAATTGAGTAAGCTGGGAAATTTAATCAATTTACAATTGATAGGATCATGAAAAGTAGGTGTTACACACCATACCAGAGGAAAAGTAGTTAAAGGAGAGGTTTAGCAATAAGAATTAATTTCAAAGCATAATTTAAATCCAAAAGGTACATTTTATAACATTCACAAATGTTTTTTTACTTTAATACAACATGTGCTGGTTTTATAAATGCAATGATTTATATTTAACATGTAATTTTAGAGAAGATAAGCAAGATAACATCCCAGGACCGATCTCTTCAGACACTGCGAGAAAAGATCTGATGTTGCAAAGTTTATGGATGGATGATATTCTATTTTAGAAAATGTTTATAAACCAAAAAAAGCATTATAAAGGTCTTCCAAACTCGTGTGTTGCACCAAGCCATAGATATTGGGTAACGCAGGTCATTGTAGGTTTCTGTTGGGCTAGTTTGGCTCTCATCAGGCTCACGTCTTTGGGAGTATGCCTGATTCAGCATGTAGAATAAGTAGTGCGGTCAGCAAAATAATGTTTTGATTGGCTATGGTTCAGAAAGCAAATGATAGCAAGAAGTCAAAAATCGAAGTGACAAAACCAAACAATCCACCCAACTTAAAGGGTCACGAAACATCAAAACACATTTTTTCAGCTGTTGACAGTCATATATGTGTCCCACACGGCTAAAAACACTATTACGACACATATATTTCACTAAAAAGTGAAAATTTATTGTTTTTGCGTTATTTCGAGCAAATTCGTTCTTCCGATTTAAAACAAATTTTTGAAGCTGCGTCACAGCCATGAGATCTTAGCGTGTATTCCAGCGTGTAAACTGGACGTCTGTACCTGGGAGTACCTTATTACGAGTGTGCTGCATTCATTCATTAGTAAGACTTGGTTCAAACCAATCAGCGCGCTCTATTGTGTATGCGGTGCAATTTAATTAATATGCATGATAGCTTCAAACACTGTTTTTTACCTGAAACAGTGTTCAGACGGCAGAGAGACGACACAGTGTGTTGCCAAAACAAGTGAGAAAAGAATAAAAATTGTTTGGAGATACAGGTCGTCAGTGTTGCTTTTATAATGTGCTGCAACAAAGGTTTTGTTTTCATTTTCCAGCTATGAGAGCGCAACTGGACTCATGTGTGGATCAGTGCAGGCGACACGCGGCAGATAATACGTTTGTACGGAACATTTTTTTACTCTAGAGCTTTTCGCATCTGGAAATTGTGAAATCCGGATTTGTTGCTCGTCTCCTTTTAAAAAAAGACGCAGCTCCAGTTGGTGTTGATTGTCCTGTCTCAGCAGATTTGGTAAGTTTGCGTGCGATCAGTGCCCTTTCTTTGTTCATTCAGATAACAAAGTAATAGTTAGTATTATCAGCAGTACTCTTTCAGTATTTAAAGACAGACCTTGGTCAAAATGATTTCTAAGTTACTTAGTTTACAGTTCGTTAATATCACTACAATATTATGAGCTGAAAAATCTGCTGTAATTGCTGTTCTCCTAGTGAAAACATGTAAACACTGGAAGCTAACTATTACCAACCGTCGTGTTGAATTTTCGCCGCATTTTGTGACAGGATTGTCTACACACACACAGCTTTCTGATCTTCCAAGTGCATCTGAGTTACCGAGAAATGCATAGGTTTTTACTTTTATACGATTTGCGGTATCAAACATTTTAGTCATTAAACAGAGTCACTGTCTTTCTCCCCTGCTCCTGTGTGTTTGTTTTTCCTCAGTGAAAATCAGCGCGTGCCCAAATGGAAACTCTCATTTTTATCTCATTCCCTCTTTTCCCTCCCCCGACACTCCCACCTAAACAGAGCTAGACACACCCACTTTCCTGACCTTTTCCAAACTATAGTTGTGAAAACACCGTGCTGAAACAGGGGGTTTCATGGCCCTTTAACAAGGAATTCAAAGAAGCTGTCATCTATATCATTTGGATTTCTCAAATATTTGCAAATTATATGGATTATCAGCTTATCAGACTAAATGAATAAGTAAAACCCTCTGTGGAGGGCATCACAGTATTGTGAAAATAATATACAAATGCTGTTTTGTTTACGATTTTCATCCATGTTCTAGTTTTAGTCAGCTGTTGTCTGTTTGGTGTTCATGTGTAGCTTTATTGGCCCAAATGGGACCAGACGCACAGTCAGCGTTCATCGCTGCTAGTTCTTTGATGACAGCTTGGTGTGTCCAGGGCTTAAAACTTCTCACTTATTTTCTAAGGAATGTAAAAACAATCAGGATGTTTGCCTGATATACCACAGGCCCTAGTAAGCAACCCCAATTACTGTTTTTTTTTTACATCATGTTATACCTCAGCATTTAATTTGTGCCCTAAAAGGTACAAGTCAAGTTCCAGTAATTGGCTTTACTCACTAATGAGGGAGACGTTTGGAGTAAATCTCCCTTCCTCAGGGCACACCACGCATTGTTTTGCAAAGGAGATTTGTTAAAAGCATCTCAATACCACACAGTTGCCAGCAATGTCAGACGCTTTTTTTCTTAAAGATTACATTGTGTTGGGGAAAACACTGCAAGGTGTTCGCTGTTGCTGTCTCAAGCAATCACCTTTGTATTGCTGAGATAAATGAGTAGCATAATCAAAACATTTCTCAATGAATAAAGCATGTTTCTAAATACATAATCCGTAAACACTGAAGGAACTGACAGGTTCTTAGAAGAAACCAAAACACTTCTGTTTATTGACGTAGGGACTGCTGTGTGGTTTCAGGTTTAGTTATCTACAAAGAAAGGTTGTTTATTGTTTTGTCTGACTCACCGGCTCCTCTTGAAATCTGCATGAAGGCCTCGACTCCTTTCTCGCCATAGCTTCCCTCCGAGGCCACGGTAGATACGTAGTTCCACCCCATCGACTTGACTATCTCCACCATTGCTTGTGCTTGGAAGGAGTCGGGAGGTACGACACGAGAAAAGAAATCGTACCGGCGGTCATCGCTCAATTCTGGGGCGGTGGAGGCGTAGCTGATCTGCGGAATCTGAAAGCAGAAAAAAAAGGTGGTTAGATTCAATGTTAGAAAACTGAGCTGCCTCCATTTTTATTTCTGTCAGCCCCTATAATGGAAAATGATAGAGTGTTCTTCGCCATGATTCTGTATTGAATGTCAATTACTCAAACTTTCATGGGGAATTGTATCTGCCATCTCTCTTTGACGTGGTCGTAATATAAATGCTGGTCTGCGGTGGGTTCATGCAATGAAACTTGTATTAAATTGAAATTGAGACAAGGCTGAGCTGACGTCGAGTCTCTCTCTAGTGACATAAGTGGTTCTTCCTAAACGTAGGCTGTTATTGAAATACTTAATTTTATAGAATTGAGTGTAACGTATTTTAAGGAATATCATGCAAGCATAATCCTGCGCCACTATATTGTAAAGCAAAAAGACCCATCCGCTGCAGCTTGGCATGTGCATAACAAAATGTTGGTCTTTGGCAGATATCAGAAATAAACAGAAAGAGACTTTCACATCACCCACCAGCTGTCGGCGCAGACTGCGGCGGCACATTTATCATCTTGGACAAGCTGCATAATATACTCGTTGTTTTTTGAGTTATGTAATGAAACAACGAGTGCTGCATTTAAGTCATTCACCTTAGAAGAGGTCACACTGCGAATACACACAAACACTAAAACGGTCGCTTAACACCGTTTAGCATAAAATCCCACCGATTCAGTTCCCTAATGCACAGTCAAGGGTGACTTCAACTCTGAAACTTGATGATTCAACCTCTCGAAATGATGAACTATCTCCTGGAACACAGCTTGTTATGAAGTTATGAAAATGTCCTTGGCTGAGGCTATCAGGCCCCAGATGATCATCAATGGCAGCCAACAATGTTCAGGCTATTTTCCAGTGTGTTCAATAATCACTTGCCTTGAGTCACATTTCTGAATTAAGGGGGAACTGAATATGTAAATGTCTTCACACAATTTCAAAAAAGCTAATCTGCAAATAGTCCTCACAACTGCCCGCATTATCCACTAAAGCTCAGGCATGTTTTCTATTTTCCGACAGACGCTTTGTCACGTCTTCTGTAATAGAAGTCTCACACTCAAACTCAGAGCAATTCCCAGATATTTTTTTGAGGCATGTAAAAGCACGCTTCGTGCCCGGGCTTCATGTGACATCATTCACTGTTTACTAAGTAAACACAGTAAAGTAACCTTGCAATAACCCTCAAAAGGCTAGTGAATGAAAAGAAAACCTTTTAAACACTTCAAGGGGGAAAAACACACCGAGCGATTTTCAAAAGGCGCTTTGCCACCTGCTACTGGGGGATGTATTGCGAATGTAGACGGTCCATGAATAATCATTACCAGCCATGAAACTGGATTTTTAAAAAAGGGGCTTTGCAAATATTCAGGGAAGAATGATAAGCTAGCTCCTGGTACATACAAACACATTCTTAAAGGTCAACGCTTCAGTAGGCGTCTAAGAAATTCAACATATCTTTTGAAAAGTTCAAAATGAGTTTGACTCAACTGGCGCTCAGGGTTTTCTTTGCAATTATCCGCATGCTTTTTCCTCCATTTGACACAGGTCTGGGATTACTTGATCTTTGACCAAATCAGGCCAGACCCATTCTTCCCACAGTTAATTCCCTCCTCTGAAGAGAGCCTCCTGCTCGTCAGCCAGCAAACTTTAGCTAAATGCTGCTTTTTTTTTCAATTAGCCTCTTGATCTTGCTTGATTTAACAGGGAGCTAAGCTTTTTCATTAAATCATTTGGCTGGAGAATATACTGTATATAAGGGACAAAATATGTGGGGGTGGATGTACATGAACTCTGTACATTTGGTGAGAGACAAATCTATGAATTTAACAGTAATTAAGGTAAAGGAATAACACTTTACAATAACAATTATGTTGCAATGAAAATGGTAAATGAAAATGCTTGATTATTGTGCTGTATTGAACAATGGTTTGTCCTAAAACTCTTTTGCAAGCTGTCACTTTTTTTTTTTTTTTGCTAATTCTTTCTCTTGGCACACAACTCCTCTGGCTCTCACAGCGTGAATGCAATTTTTGGAAATCTCCGAAACTTTTGGAAGGAAAAGGCAGAACAAAGCATATTTATGGGTTTCTTTTTAAACTTTAATTATGTTATTGCAAAGAAGAAAAAGTGAGAAAAAACAAGGATAATGGGGAAGATGAGGGAGGAATGTGAGCTGAAAATGTCTTGAGGTTGGTTCACTCTATTCTTGTTTTTAGCTTGTATCAAAGATGAAGCATTCTGAAAGTAGCAAACAGACTCTGTCATGTTTGTTCAAATACTACCCAGTCAGAAATGCTAAAACAGTGTTAATTGTTGTCTTATTTTCTCTTAAAATGTCTAAATATCACTGAAACATAAAGTTTTATTTATTTATTTATTTATTTTGCTTAGAAATAGGCTCATTTCACAAGTCACCTATAGTTAAGAAGTTGTTAACTCTAAGAATATATTAACAGAAGTGTCAAGATTTAAATAAGACTTTTGTGAGATGCAAATGGTCTAATCTGATTCAATGATTTATGCTAAGCTAAGCAATAAGTGCTCTTATCAGACATGGAGATCAGTTGAATGGATTAAAAAATGGTAAAACTAAACTGTTTAACTCTAGGGAATTTTCATTCATTAATTCAGCTTGGTCTTAGGCCGTACTCACACTAGGTACAGTTGCCTCGAACCGGACCAAAGCAAGCTTGTCCCCCCTCCCGTCACCCCCAACGGCCCGCACTCACACACAAACGGGCCTCAGCACGCTTACGTCATCATTGCTGTGAGAAGCGCTCTTACTCAGCACAGTGGAGATTTCTCTAGTTATATTGTTTCAGTCGTTTGATATGCAGTGACATGCAGTCAAATATTTTGGCAAACAGTCCTTAGGGATGCGGGGACACGCAGTCAAATACTTCGCTGAACAGATCCGCCACTTTTGGCACTTATAATCATAATCCTCTCGTGCTGCAGGAATGAGGAAGTCTGCTGAAGGTGCACAGCTGTCGTGCAGTGAGGAGTTTGTGTCTTTAATAAACTACGGCAGTTTGCGTTCACTGAACAGTAAAAATGATTAATAAATCCATATGAAACAGTCCCTTAAAAGTCACGTCTCGCTTTCACTTTCGGGCTTTGGCACGTTCTGCACTCACACACAAGCGTACCGCGCAAAAGACCAAGTGAACCGTGCTCAGGCACACCTCTTCCAACCGGGCCAGGGCCGGCCAAGTGAACCGTGCTTGAGCCAGATTCAGTGCACTCACACTTCTCAAACGATCCGGGAAACGGGCCTGGGCACGGTACGGATGGCATAGTGTGAGTAGGCCCTTAATTTCAGAGGTTGCCACAGCGGAATTAACTATTTTAGCATATGCTTCACGCAGCGGATGCCCTTTCAAACACAATCCAGTATCAGGAAACGCCCATAAACACTCATTCACACACACACTCATACACTATGGACAATTTAGTTGATTTAATTCACCTACAGCTCATGTGTTTGGACTGTGGGGAAAATTGAAGCACCCAGAGGAAACCCACACGATCAAATGGAGAACATGCAAACTCCACATGTCAAATGGCCCAGCCGGGATTCGAACCAGTGACCTTTTGGCTGTGAGTTGACAGTGCTATCAACTGAGCCACCATGCCGCCCCAGGGGACATTCAATACAATTAAAAAACAATAAGAGTGGAGTGTTCATTTAATACAAGTTTGTTGTCACAATTCCACATAAAGAAATACAAAAAAGCCACAGGAAAATTGGATATGTACTAATAAAAAGACAAAGGGAACCTTACTTAAATCTGAATTAACATCTCAGCAATCCAAAGTCACCTTCTCTTCATGAAATCAACAAGCAAGCTTTCACAAACACCTTCTAAATTGTTTTTTTCCTAAAGGTAATGATAAAATCCACAGCTTTTAGCTCCCCCAGAGTTGTCTCTCGAGCTATTAATAAAGTTTTGCAGTTTATAAAAAAAAATATGAGTCATTCTGAAACAAGTATATATGTATCCCAGTGTATTTGTTTGTATTACAAAAGATATTTCTGCAGCATCACCAGCTGAAGCAATTACAGGTTGCCTCTTTCAACTCAAGTCAAGTCCCGAAGCAAGAACTCGTCATTTAAACCATTCCAAGACAGTTTCCTCCGCCTGCAGCAAGCTTTGACTATTTGCTCCTTGAGGAGTCAGAGGAAACAGATCTTGTAGCCCCAAAACCCGGGATAACACAGATCGGCTAGAGGTGAGGCCTAGAGCTTTCAAAAGCAAACCCCCACCCCCTCCTCTTTCCTCCATCGTTCTTTCAGTCCTGTCTTTCCCACTCACTCACAGACACACAAATAATATCAAGGCCCTGCATCGTAGCCATAGCCCTTGTAAGCTGTCAACTGTGTATTTATGTGTCTGTGTGGATGACAGGAAGGGCCGTGATGAACATTGTTCGGCTTAGGGATGGCGCCCCATTATCGGACTCCATTATCTTGTCTATCAGGGTGACTGATCTGAAGGTGGTGGCTACTGTGTCCCCAGAATCCAGGGGCCTGTCTTGTGTCAAGTCAGGAGGTGTAAGACTAAGGCGTCCTGTTGGACCATCCATCAGGTGAAGGCGTCTTTTATTCAGTCACACAAACACAGCCCAAAGAACTTTGTGGCATATTGTGGCCTACTCGTTCTGAGGTGATTACTGGTGTCATGTTAAATATGGGGGCAGGCATGGCCTAATAATTAGAGAGTTGGAATTGTGATGCAAAAATCACAGGTTTGAGTCCCTGCAGATTGTAGGTGGCTGATACAGCAATCTCTTTTACCCTCAATACCATGGCTAAAGTGAGCAAGTCAGAACGTACTCACACTAGGTACAGTTGCTTTGAACCGTGCCAAAGGGCGCTTGTCCCTCTCCTCTCTACCCCAACAGCCTGCACTCACATTATTACCTTCTGTGCTGCAGAAAGTTTACATCATCAGTGATGCGACTGTTCAGTTTAACAGAAA